GAGCGGCCACTGCACTCCAGTCTGGGCGACAGAGTGAGACTCCAACTCAAAAAAATAAATAAATAAATAAAAATAAAAAAAGCGTGACCTAGGGCAAGTGACTTAGTCTCATGGAGCCTCAGTTTCCCCATCTGTAAAACTGGGATAATTAATAGCACCTACCTCACAAACTGCTGTGAGGATTTGGGAAGATGCTTGGCCTCATAGTGCCTGGTATGCATTAGGTGCTCAATCACAATCTCACAAAAAGAAAGAGAAACACAGATGTGGGCAGCTATCTGTGCATGTGGGCGGTGCCTGCTCTCCCCAAGAGCTCTCTGAGGAGGCTCCAGCATGCCTCTGAGGTTCCAAGGTTCAACAGCCCTCACGGGGCTGGAATGCACCGTCATAAGTGAATTAATATACCCCGGATTAAGGAAGGACAGGACCCATCTGCTCTCCTTGCCACTCAGGAGCCAAAGCAGGAGGGCAGGTAAGGGAGCAGGCCAGATGCAGGGAGGAGACAGCAGCTGGGAGCACTTGTCATAACAACAAGGGACCAACGTGTGTGTACCACATGTGTACTGGGTGCTGACACGTGGCCTTCACCCAAGTCTGCCAGTGTGCTGTTGGTGTTCATGTTTACCAGCAAGGAGGCTCAAGTTCCAACAGTTAAGACACTTGTGGAAGATCATACAGATGGAAGACAGCAGAGCTCAAATTCACACCCACCTCCAAAGCCCACGAAGGTCTGATTCTACACACCTAGTGAGAAGACAGGCTTTAAGGCAGTAAGAAACCTGCCCAAGGTTGACTGGTGAGTCAAGGGCAAGGGCAGGTGTCCAGAGTCCCTTCCACCCATGGGCTCCGAGGGCGCCTCCATCTCCTGCACTTTGGCTCTGTGCACACACACACACACACACACACACACACACACACACACACAGCCACAGTTACACTTACAACCACACACACACAGGCTGTCTCATCCCATTCCTCTGATGCACCTGACCACCTTGGCTTCCCTTCCCAGAGGCTGCCTCTTCTTTACCTGGACCTGGACCCTGCATAGGATACAACAGGCATGGCTACAGGTCTTAAGGGTGCAGGCTGGCAGTGGTAAGTGGCAGGGCAGAAGCAGGTGGAGAGGGAGATGCCAAGAAACCTGACAACCCACCTACAGTCTGAACTCTGTCCCGATCACACACTCAAAAACAGCCTTGCTGGGCACGGTGACTCACGCCTATAATCCCAGCACTTTGGGAGGCGGAGACGAGAGGATTCCCTGAGCCCAGGAGTTCAAGACCAGCCTGGGCAACTTGGCGAGACCTCGACTCTATAACAAATTTTTTTTTAAATAGCTGGGCGTGGTGGTGCACACCTGTAGCTTCAGCTACTTGGAAGGCTGAGGCAGAAGGATCGCCTAAGCCTAGGAGGCCCAGGCTATGGTGGCTGTGATTGTGCCACTGCACACCAGCCTGGATGACAGAGCAAGACTCCAGCTCAAAAAAAAAAAAGAAGCACCCTTGTCTGAGTTTCCAGTGGCCTCCATGTTGCCAAGCCCACTGCCCTTTGGCCAGCACTCACCTTGCTCGGCCCACCTGCAGCTTCCCACCTTGCTGCCCGTTCCCTCCTCATGGAGCTGCTGACACCCTGTGGTGTGGTCCCTTCTGGGTTCCTCCCACTTCTCTGGCTCTTCTTCTCTAGTGGGCTCCTTTGTGTGTACCTCTCCATTCCTCAGGGCACTGTCCTCAACCTGCTGTTTTCTCTTCCTAAACATTCTCCCTGAGGCCTGATGCGATGGTTCATGCCTATAATCCCAGCACTTTGGGAGGCCAAGATGAGAGAATTGCCTGAGCCCACAGGTTCGAGACCAGCCCAGGCAACTTAGTAAGACCTCATCCCTACAATAAATCCAAAAATTAGCCAGGCGTGGTGGCGCATGCCTATAGTTCCAGCTACTTAGAAGGCTGAGGTGGAAGAATTGCCTGAACCTGCAGCAGGTCGATGCTGGGGTAGCCATGAGCGTGCCACTGCACTCTGGCATGGGCCACGGAATGAGACTCCAACGCAAAAAAAAAAAAAAAAAACAAAAAAAAAAACACTCTCCCTGGACAGCTTTGATAGCTACCGCCCATATGCTGATAAATTTCAACTCTTTTCTTCCAACCCAATCCTCTCTTAAGCTCCAGACCCCTACATTTAACTCTCTTCCGGATCTCTCCACGGGCCTCTCAGCTGGTCACATCCATACCAACCTCCCTTCCTGCTTCGTGCTGCTGGGCCTCGTGCTCCCAAATGTGCTTCCTAAGGTCTCTGCTACTCGCAAAGGCCTTGGTTCCCACAGTGTATTCTCCACCTCCAGGCTGGTCACCAGCCTCTTTCTATCCAAATCGCTACAACAGCCTCTTCACTGGTCCTCTCTCACCAGTCTTGCCTGTCCTAAGGTTCTACGTTGAACCTACAATTACCTTTTATTTATTTTTATTTATTTATTTATTTTTTTTTTTGAGTTGGAGTCTCACTCTGTCGCCCAGACTGGATTGCAGTGGCCGC